AGGGTCTGTCTGGGGTGCTCCGCAGCAGGACCCGCTGGCCCTGAGGCCTGCGGAGTGTGAAAGGGCTCTAGACTCAGACAGACGCCAAGGAGGAGACGGAGATGCCACTCTCACAGAACTGCCGCAGGCGAGCATCACCCGCTTTATTGGAACATGCTTGATGGGCAAGTCTGCGTTGGCACCTCCCTTCCTTTCCAAATAGCTGGTGCAAAGAATTAAAGCATACAGATATAAATATGTACTGTAAAACAAGACTGTTAAAAGCAGCCATTTAGAACAATTCAGCCAGGAGGATGACACAAATAAAAAGCAAATTCCTTGGCAGCTGCTAATTTGGCTACCCTTTTCTTCTGCAAAATGTGACACTGCTTAAATACATTCTTGTACAAATAATTAAAAAGTGGAATGGTTAAACTAGGTTCCCTTCAAATGTGTTTTGGGGTCTTGTGAGAGGAACAGCTGAGCTGGCACAGCCATCTGGACTAGGGCTGCCCTGCAGGACTCCGAGAAGCCCGGGTCCCCAGCCAGCGCTTCCTTGTCAGCGTAGGACAGCCCTGCCTGTGTGCCCGAGGGGGCTCTGGCCTGGATGGCCCCCTTCCCATCACTCTGAGGCTCCCTTGGCCCCTGGAGTCTGCCCTGACTGGGCAGAGAAGCGCTGTTGCAGCGGCTCTCAGCTCGGCAAAGGGCGCCCAGCCTGAAGGCAGCAGAAGCCCTTTGACTGGGGTGAGAGGTGTGGGCCTGCCATGGGCGGGGACGGTCATGGAGGGGGAAGGTCCTCGGGAGCCGTCCAGGGAGGCTAATCCCACGCAGGTTCCATTCCAACCAAAGCGAACCAGCTCAGGGCTGAACTGTGGCATCCTTGGTGCTCTCTGCGCTGGGCTGCACCTGACTAGGTCACATCGTCAGCTCAGAGAGCTCTGTGGCTTCCGTGTTGTGGATTTATCAGAAGGAGCACAACGCTGAGGAGAAGAACCAAACCTTATTGCAACCATTGCTGGGTGCCTGCTTTCCAAGAAAAAGGGACCCAGAACAGTAGAAAGGTAGAGAGGCAGGAAATCCTCGGGGTCTGATTTGCGAGCAAGTTTTGGGGGAAGAGAGATGGGTGTTAAACAGGGGGAAAGTGTGTTTCTATTGTAAAACAGAAGTCCCACCTCTGCGACAGACAGACAGACAGACAGACAGTGAGTAAGGACTCCAGCGCTAACAAGGACGGAGCTTTGAGATAACCGGGTGCCCGCGCTTGATCAGGTGGAATGCCCGGGTCTCTCACCTTGTTAACAAAGGGTCCTCACTGGGTGGGCTGCCCCCTAGACAAACCTTTAGGTAGACAGGTAAGAGCCTTCTCTGTGTTTTTGCTGTGTTAGGATTACAAGGGCTTTTCTTGGCAGCAGAAACATGATTGTTCTTGGGTCAGGTCCTATTTCACATATGCAAGTGGGGGGAGCAAGAGTGGGGGGGGTGAAGAGTTTGCAGAAAGAGAGGCAGGAGGCAAGAGTTTTCAGCTTTATTTCATTATTTTTCCATCACACCCATTCCCGCCAAGAGCTCCAGGCTGAGTTCATGAAACGGTCCTGGCAGCGGATCCACCCTTTTTGCCAGTTCTCCTGCTTCGTGGTCAGCTCCAGCCCATCCTGCAACAGAAAGAGGGCGCAGCTGAACGGGCAGAAGGGAGTCCTGCAACATGCTTCCCAACTGGGGCAGGGAAGGGGCCAATACCCCCAACCAGCAAGGTTGGTTGTCCTTGCTCCCTTTGAACAGGGCCAGCACCTGCACCCACTACCAGGCACAACTAAAAGGAGGGTCCTGCTTTATTAGGCAGCTGCAGAAGGAGCTGCAGCAGCACAACAGAACGTCTCCGTGCAGAGGCAGGATACCACCGTAGGGGCGATGCCGGGCAGCCTGTCCCAGGCCCCTGGTTGGAGGCTATTAGCTGGGGACCTCACTGAGCCAGGAGGTGCTGGCCGGTGGAGGAGGGAAATTAACACATCCGTTCTTGATTGCACACATTTTATACCACCTCACCCCAAGAGTCAGTGGTTCACACAAATTTTGTGATTCTGAGAGGCTTCTCATGGACCAGAAGGTATCAGAGCAGCCCCTAAATGTTATGAATAAGAAGCCCGTGAGGGTTACTCACGATGAAGAGATCCTCTTTGCTGGAACTGGATTCCAGGCGAAGGTTGTACTGCAGAGGGAAGTAGGCGGCAGGCAGGTTCCAGGAGACTGGGGGAGCCCAGGATATCCTCTGCCCCACGATACTCAGGTAGCTGGGAGCATCAGGCTTCACTGCAAGGAGGGCAGGAGCCCCATCAGGTTTCATCCAGCCGGTCCCCCTTCCCTCCTCCCTCAAGAGGCCAAAGGCAAAAGGGACTCCTTGGCCAGCCTGGAAGGAGACCCCTCCTGGAAAGACCCTCCCCAAATCATCCTTCCTAAGGCAGAGGGTTGCCAGTTAAGGTAGAATATGCTCTGCAAAAGTGGAAATTCTATCGACTTTAGGTCTTTGCAAGCACCATGCAAAATAACCTGGGTTAGAGATCAGCTGCGAGCCGGGGAAAAGAGAGCAGGAGGGGATGGGGGGGGCACAGATGTAATGGTGGTTGGCTCAGGCCAGATCCCTGGCTGGGCCTTCAAAGGTCAGGGATAGGATGAGGGGAGAGGGCAGGGCTGGTGCCACACATACCAATCTCCCGCAAGAAGAATGTTTTCCTCACTTCGGTGTAGCCACCGTCTTCAGCGAGCCCCTTTAACACCAGAACAAGGGGCGTTTCCTCAGCATATGGACAGAAGGAACAGTCTTCCAACAGAATGTGCACCATTTTGTTCCCAGGGACAGCCACTTCCACTGAGGGGCACAGCGCCGCGTCTGGTTCTCTGCAGAGAGAAAGCAGAAGTGAGCACTCAGTTCCCTCAACTCCGAGGCACCTGCTGACCGCAGCGGTAATGGGCAGATGCTCCCCCTGTGCTCAGAGGCTCCCTTCTCCTTGTGGCAATGCTCAGTGTGCCGCAGAAAAAGAGGAGGGTGTGTGTTACTAACGTGCGTCTCAGGTGGACCTGAAAGGTGGCCTGGTGCAGAGATTTCCAAGAACAGTTCAAGATGCCGCTGTAAGACGGAGCCCAACAGGTAATGGCAGGTTCTCCCTCTTCTCCTGCAAGAATCGGGTGAAGGAATTCAGGGCAAGGCCAGACCCCTCTTCCTGGAGCAGCCCAAGACGCGAGATGCCCATGGGGCTTCCCCCACCTCCGGTGCCCCAAGAATCCAAATCTGGAGCAATAGGGGTGGAGGTGGTACCCGTAGAGCAGAAAGGCAGGTGCACCAGGGCCAGCCCAAAGTGCACGAGTCGCATAGGGCTCCCCCAGTCTGGGCCCCAGCTGGAAGGGACCCCCACCCCACCTGTCCTCCCCAGGGGCC